TTTATTAATCATAAACTAAATTAATTATCCTAATTAATTAATCCTAATTAATTAATCCTTTTTATTTATATTATATCATTTTTTACTTTTTTTTTGTTTTAGTTTTTTTTTTACTGGACTGGGTCGGGCTGACCCAATCCAGAAACACAATCCGAGCATGAAAATGAACAAAAGAAGATTAAACGTGCAAACAACATGAGCAAACTAGGGTTCATTTAAAAAATTTTGCAGAAAACATGCATTCCATTTTAAACACAGCAAATATTCATTTCATACTAGTAAATCTACCATTCATTTCTCAACAGATACACATAAATTTCAGCATTTCAATCACTAAACAACACAACATCAAAGGAAGAAAGTATAAAATCTACAGCGGAGAATTCAGGAAAGGAACGGATCAAGATCCAAACAGAGGGATCCCACCCACGGGATCAAGCTCTGTTCATCACCTTCACCACCCCTACTGAATCCTCCCAGTTCCAGCAATTTACCTAAGACATCAGAAACCCAGAAAATGCACAATCTCCTTCGGTGAATTCTGGAAGTTCAGCAGTCCCCTTTCTCTCGCTGCCACCTCCGACAATACTCAAATTGAGACCAAGGGAATCCCAGAATCAACCAAGAAAAAATCAAATTCCCCAAAATCAAAAAGCCAAAATCAATCCCCAAGCCCCCCTTCAGCTCCAAGAGGAACCCGAAAATCAACCAGCAAAATCCCCCAAAATCAAACTCCAAAAACTCCCTCCGAACTCCAAAAGAAAAAATCCCCCTCCAGCTCCAAAAGGAATCCGAGAATCCCCAGCAAAAACCTCAAACGAACTCCAAAAAAAATCCCCCCTTTTCAATCTGATTTTTTCTATATATACTCAAACAATTTGTCCGGTATTGTTGTTTTTTTCTGCATGTGAGGCAAGGATGAGGCTCTTTTCTCTTTTGTCTTTTTCTTTTGTCTGAAGTGTGCGGCATCTTGCCGAAGAGCAGGACAAGGCGCAAAGCAGATTGCAGAACAGGGGGCGCAGCACTGTGCAGGCTCGGGCGTAGGCGGTTGCAGGCGGCAAAGGGGCTGGTTCGGTGCAGCAGCAGAGGCGCAGGTGTGGCAGCGGGTAGGGTAGAGCAAGGCCGGGCGTGCAGAGCTGGTGCAGCAGGCGGGCTCGGTGCAGGGCTGGTGATTGGGCGCAGAGAGCAGAGGGAGCTGGTTCGCGCAAAAGGGGGCGTGGTGCAGAAGCAGGGCTGGTGCAGGAAGCAAGGCCGAGCGCAGCAGAGTGCAGGCTGGGGCAGAGTGCAGACGATCTGGGCGCAGAGCAGGGAGCAGGGGCGTAGGTGCAGGGCTGGTGCAGCAAGGCTGGGCGTGCGAGGGGGCGATGATGGCTCGGTGCAGAGGAGCTGGGCGCGGTGCAGAGGATCTGGGCTCGGTGCAGAGGATCTGGGCTGTGCAGGGGGGAGAGGAAGCTGGAGATTG